CCGGGATACATATACACATTATCCTGTCTGGGATACATATAAACATTATCCTGCCCGGGATACATATACACATTATCCTGCCCGGGATACATATGTACCCCGGGCGGGAGAGAAATAGCTGGGCATATTTCCTATCACCTAATACACCAATTCCCCCTAGCAGTAAGTAGGTACCCAGGAGTTCGTGTATAAATATACCCTGGCTGCCTGTCCCCCGCCACAATGAATGATTACTTCATCTCTGAACCAAGTAAATGTATAATTGCTAGTCGGTTAATAAGCTGTAATAAAGGACTTAACAGTTCCAGGGCCCAGAAAAAAACGTAATTAAAATAGGAATAACTAACGTTTTCTATTCAGCAAATAGCTAAAGCTTGCTCAGGTCGCCTCCAGCAAGGGGCAAGGATAGACCGCAGGACCTGCCTGTGTCACCTACCGCAATGTGGTAATATTAACGGGTGCTTAATAATTCTAATTTTCAATAATTAATTAATAATAAATAATTATTAAATGTTTAATAATAAATCTAATATCGAACACATGAGTTACTGCTAGATTATTGCTCAGATTTAAGCACCATATATTTACCGCCAGCAGCTCTACAGTCAGTTTTCCGCACTACAATACAACGTGTTCTCGCCTCTAATACCTCGCATTCATAAAGGAATATCCGTCAACAGTGCGAAGTATTCACATTTTCTGAGCATTAGTATCGCTAGGTTTAATGGGTTACCTTGAGGTGCTTCCGGGGCTTAGCGTCCCCGCGGCCCGGTCGTCGACCAGGCCTCCTGGTTGCTGGACCGGTCAACCAGGCTGATGGACGCGCTGACGTATGACTCACAGCCTGGTTGATCAGGTATCCTTTGGAGGTGTTTGTCCAGTTCTCTCTTGAACACTGCGAGGGGTCGCCCAGTTATGCCCCTTATGTGTAGTGGAAGCGTGTTGAACAGTCTCGGGCCTCTGATGTTGATAGAAATATTGCCGGAACAACCGTGGACATTTTCAAGAGGAAACTAGATTTGTTCCTCCAAGGAGTGCCGGACCAACCGGGCTGTGGTGGGTATGTGGGCCTGCGGGCCGCTCCAAGCAACAGCCTGGTGGACCAAACTCTCACAAGTCGAGCCTGGCCTCGGGCCGGGCTTGGGGAGTAGAAGAACTCCCATAACCCCATCAACCAGGTATCAACCAGGTATAGAGTTATCTCTCAGAGTACCTGTTGCACCTCTGCTCTTCAACGGGGGTATTCTGCACATCCTGCCATGCCTCCTGGTCTCATGTGATGGTGTTTCTGTGTGCAGGTTTGGGACCAGCCCCTCTAATATTTTCCACGTGTAAATTATTATGTATCCCCCTTCTGCGCTCAAGGGAATACAGATTTAGGTTCTTTAGTTGGTCCCAATAGTTTAGATGTTTTACTGAGTGGATTCTAGCAGTAAAGGATCTCTTGCTTAGGTTGTTACGGGCTGCGTTGTTATGGGTTGCTTAGGTTGTTATGGGTTGCTTAGGTTGTTATGGGTTGCTTAGGTTGTTATGGGTTGCTTAGGTTGTTATGGGTTGCTTAGGTTGTTATGGGTTGCTTAGGTTGTTATGGGTTGCTTAGGTTGTTATGGGTTGCTTAGGTTGTTATGGGTTGCTTAGGTTGTTATGGGTTGCTTAGGTTGTTATGGGTTGCTTAGGTTGTTATGGGTTGCTTAGGTTGTTATGGGTTGCTTAGGTTGTTACGGGTTGCTTAGGTTGTTATGGGTTGCTTAGGTTGTCACACTTCTGACTAGGCAAAATGAATTGCATTTGTCTCAAATAATCACTTACGTCTGGCGTTCATGCATATCGTAACTAGCTTCCACCGGTCTAATCTACCTAATAATGGCTGCTGTTCACTTACCTTCCGATGACAATATTTCGTGTGATGTAATCAGCCAGTCCGTCCCAAGTGACCAGGAGGTGGTACGCGAGGAGGTGGGTCGGCTGGTCTTCGCTGTGGCGAGCGTGAACGAGTAGTGTACACCAATCGATTGATTGATGAAGATTAAGCCACCCAAAAGGTGGCACGGGCATGAATAGCCCGTAAATGGTGGCCCTTTTGAGCCATTACCAGTATCAAACGCTAATATTGGAGATCTGTGGAGGTGCGACTGCACCCTGCGTGACGGGAGATGTCTCCCCCGTGTACACCAATCAACAGCTGGAGAATAAATTAAGGTCCCTTCATTGTCATCTGTTCGATACTCTGACGGCGCAACCCGTCCTCGACTCAAGTCCTTTACATCCAGCAGTTGACCCCACAGACGCATTCATAAATTTTTACATGCTGTTCATTCAAAACAGAAATTTTCTCAAATATAAATTAATATTATAATATATTAGCATATTGTGCATATATAGGCATAGGTTAGGTTAGGTGTTTTAGGTTCCGTTGGCGATTATTTGTATTTGTAGTACGTGGGTGAAGCATTTACAGCGTTGTGGTTCGAACAAAATTCGTCAGTGAAGCACTTGTCCCGGAAGTGTTCGAACGTCAATATTGTGAGTCCTGTGTAAACCTTTTTTTCATTCATAAACAGGGGGTTTGGCGGGTGCATGGAATCACTTTTGGGTCTTTGTTTGGGGGACGGGCTGGACAGCCAATCAGGACCAGTTTGTTTTGGTGCCACCTGTCCTCAGGCCCACAAGGCGTATTCTACCTTAGAAATAAGTTTGTTCTCATGTATACATTAATATTATTATATAATAAACTTCAATCTATAGCTAGGCGTAGGTTAGGCTAGGTGTTTAGAAATACATGGGAGACGCATTTAGATTTGTGATTCAAATAAAGCTCGTCAGCGAAGCATTGTTCGAGAAGTTTCGAACGTCATCAGATGTGAGTCGTATGTAAACAACTTTTCATTCAACCCGTCCTCGCAAACAAAGAGCCAAGCTCGTTAACCTAGCTGTCAAATCCCTGATTATGAATGAAAAACGGTTTACACACGACTCACAACTATTGACGTATTCCGGAACACTTCCGGAAAAAGTTCTTCGCTCAGGTCCTGTTCGAACCACAACCTTATAACTGCTTCACCAATGTACTTCAAATACAAATAATCGCCAACAGAACCTAAACACCTAATCTAACCTAACCTACGCCTAACTATACATAAATTTTTTATGGATAATAATATTAATTCATATGAGAACAAACCCATTTTTAATACACAGTATGTTAAAATTGATGAATGCGGCTGGGGAACACGGCCGCTGCTTTAAACAACCTAGTGTGAGGACGGGTTGTTTCATTCGTAAACACAGCCCGTCCTCTAAACAAAGACCCAAAGTCCATTCCAGGCACCAACCAAACCCCCTATTTATGAATGAAAAACGCTTTACACACGACTCACAACTGCTGACGTTCGAACATATCCGGAACAAGTGCTTCACTGACGAATTTTGTTCGAACCACAACGCTGTAAATGCTTCACCCACGTACTACAAATACAAATAATCGCCAACAGAACCTAAACACCTGACCTAACCTAACCTATGCCTATTTATACACAATATGTTAATATATTATAATATTAATTTATACTTGAGAAAATTCCCGTTTTGAATGAACAGCATGTTAAAATTTATGAATGCGTCTGTGGGGTTGACCGCTGGATGTAATGGACTTGAGTCGAGGATGGGTTGTTCGCTGACGCAGCCCGTCCTCCAAACAAAGACCCAAAAGTGATTCCATGCACCCGCCAAACCCCCGGTTTATGAATGAAAAACGGTTTACACACGACTCACAACTGTTGATGTTCGAACACTTCCGGGACAAGTGCTTCACTGACGAATTTTGTTTGAACCACAACGCTATAAATGCTTCACCCACGTACTACAAATACAAATAATCGCCAACAGAACCTTACGGACTCACCATAGCCCGTGCTTCATGGACATTTCGTTCTGAGTAGTTAAATCTAAAACATCTTCATCAACAACAGAACCTAAACACCTAACTTAACCTAACCTAGATATGCCTATATATGCACAATATGCCTATATATTATAATATTAATTTATATTTGAGAAAAGTCCCGTTTTGAATGAACAGCATGTAAAAATTTATGAATGTGTCTGTGGGGTCGACCGCTGGATGTAATGGACTTTAGATGAGGACGGGTTGAGGGATACATTAGCTTAGGCTATTTCCACCTCCCTCCATCCCTCCTTTCCAAGCGAACGTATGGAAACCTCCGCCTTCGAGCCGCCGGATCATGTTCTGTTTTCGCGATTTTAGATTTGCTACTGCCGTTTGGCATCCCTATTCAATGGTTCGGTTTGTAAGACGCCTGGCGCACATATCGCTTTGGGTCACAGGATTGTTGATAGATTTTGAACGTTTTTTGGCTGGTTCTTCGGGCGGGGTGACGGTGTCCGGCGCCGGCTTGGCTGAGAGGTGCCGGGAGTTGGCGGGTCTTGGTGGGCTCCTGGTGTGCCCTCAGACGTGGTAGGCAGCTGGCTTCTGCTCTGTCGGGGGAAGACCGGATGACTTTTGCGTTTTAATTGGGGACTGAGTATTTGGTTTTGCTACCCAGTGTTCTCTGTGTGGGAAGGGGGCGGTGCTCTTCACCTGAGGGACTCCTGCGGCTCCCCAAATCATCTGCCTGTCATTCGGTTTTGCGATTAACCCTATACGGGTACGCCGGGGCGTATCCAATCCCACGATCGTCGTCGCCTCTAAATCAACAACAACACACCAGTTGTTTAACTCCTGGGTACCTATTTACTCCAAGGTGAACAGAGGGAATAGGTGACAGGAAAAGTGCCCAACCATTTCTGTCCCGCCCGGGATCCTCGACTGTGAGTAGATAACGAACTCAACAAATTATTAAGTGTCCCACACCATAATAATATGCTGTGGGACATTTTATATGGTGCTGGACAATGTAGAATTGAAGATGGTGTAGAGCAGTTGAATAAGTTTATTGTGAGCCCCAAACCATTGGTGCAGTTGCCATTTTTCACCTCCTCAGATGAGCGTGCGAATCACCACCATGGACGCGGAGCTGGAGTTCGCCATCAAGCCCACGACAACGGGCAAGCAGCTCTTCGACCAGGTAGTGCGCACCATCGGTCTCCGTGAGATCTGGTTCTTCGGCCTCCAGTTTACGGACAGCAAAGGTTTCACCACCTGGCTCGTTCTCACCAAGAAGGTGAGTCACCAAGGCCACCATCTGGCTCCTCGTCAATAACGTTAGTCACCCAGCTCTTGCTACACTATACTGGGAAATGTAACTATGCCATTTAGAGATATTTTTTTATGAAAATTAAAAAATAAAAGGATGATGTGTCTTAAGAAACAGGTTCGAGGGTGTCAGGAAATTTCTCGTTATTACAATTTGAAACGATCGATTTAACAATTCACACTGAAAAGCAAACATTAGGCTTGAATACACTTTGTTAATGAAGTTTAGAAGGCTGTAAAATATTGGTAGCACTGCTTTTTCCTACCATTATAGTTCAAGCTATAAATGAAACGGAATAATTATTAAAGTTCTTATCTATATTTAAAATCATATAAGGCCTAAGGAATTATGCCTTAGGAGTTAAAGTTTCTAATGAAGCCTATTAATTCTGTTAATAAGTTATTATTTCCTGTAGGTCTTGCAGCAAGTGGGCAAAGTGCATGAAACGCCTCTACAGTTTAAGTTTCGTGCCAAGTTTTACCCTGAGGACGTTACTGAAGAGATCATTCAAGAAATCACACTGGTGAGAAGCTTTATTTGACTTTCATGATTGCCTTCTGCTTCTCATTTTAAACGCTGTGTACATGGGAAATTGAGAAAATTTATATGGGTAGTTAGGGAAGCACTGAGAAAGGTGCTTGTTGACAGGAAGTGTATGGGAATGGCGTACTGTGCTTGTTAACACACAGACATGACCACGACGTACACAGTTTAAAGGGGCATCGACATGGAGAACAAGCACATACTATTAGACAAGGGTTGTGACTTAGACCAGAGAACACAGATAGATGATGAACACCCAGGTGAGTCAAAGGAAATATAAGGAAGAACGTTTACAGTGTACAAATAGTCAGAGTAATTGCGGAAACTGACTCCCTATATGGATTGAAAAGAAGATCTAATAGAACTCAGCTATACGTGTTGAGGACCTAAGAGGTGAACCTACAAGGACACTTTTTTAAGTAATAAGGAGAAACCTCTAAGGACTGTTAAAAAGTATTCTCGAGATGCAAGCATAAATATTTTTAGGTTCTAAAAGTATGTTATACAAATAGAAGGAACACTGTAGTAATAATAGTTACACAAATAATAAATTTCGTTGGGGTCGAGCCTGGCCTCGGGCCGGGCTTGGGGAGTAGAAGAACTCCCAGAACCCCATCAACCAGGTATCAACCAGACAGGCAGCCAGTGTTTATATATGTTAGGCATATATCGAGATCCCCCTTCCCCAAGGGCGAAGTACTGACCCTCCCCAGGATACAATTCCACAACAAGCTAACACCTATTGCTAACACATCCATTGGATGAACCATAGATGTTTGGCTTCTCTTGTATGATAGTATGATGATAGATGGAATTACTGGTGTCGATTTCACTTTGCCTCAGATCTACAAGATCTTGTTGAAGTTCTCGGTGTACTGCTGCTCTCGGATTGCTCATTGACAATCCAAGGTTACACTCAACGGCTCCTTTAAAGGCAGATTCTTTGGCTAACTTATCAGCTCTATCATGCATTCGGAGGCCAACATGAGATGGAGACCACATGAAATGGACTCTGTTACCATCCTTAATAATTTTGTTGTATTTGTGCCTAGCTTCGGACACGAGCATGTTACAGTTTAGTTGAGAGCAATTAAGGATGATAAGGAGTCACTTACAATTAATGTGTCAAGTTTGGAGACCTGTACACATTTCAGTGCAAGGAGCAAGGCAAATAGTTCGGTCTGAAGGGTAGAGGCCCGGTTGTTTATACAGACTCCCCACTCAAAGTATAAGCCATCGCCCATTGTCAGGACAACTGCACTTCCAGCTGCACCCGTGGGGCGGTGTAGGGAACCATCAGTGTATATGATTTGAGAGAGAGAATGCTCTGTGGACAGAGCATCAATATGGCTTAAGGCGTTGAGCTTTGCCTCATGACGAAGCTTGGGCTGATCTCTAATTTGCTTCTTGGGTGGAAAGGGAGGAATTAAAACTGGAAAGGGTGTAATCTCCCACGGAGTAAGGAAAGTGCCGTTATTGTCTCTATTGTCTCTATTTTACTGATACATTCTGAGTTCAGTTCCAGTTTTAGTTATCCATTTGGAACAATGTTGACCTTCAATTAAAAAATTCTGGAGGGCTTCTGTGCAAGTGTTAGGATGAGTTAGCCTAAGCATTTTTATACCAATTTGACAGTTAATTTTAGTAACACGATCAACGACGCTCCTAATATTAAGTTCCTTTCTCATATTAAGTATCTTTGTGGTACGAGGGCACCCAAGGATACCCTCGTATCCTCAAAGCTTCGTTCTGCAATTTTTCAAGCTCTCCAAGGTTTCTTTGAGGCATCAAAGCAAGCAGAGGTACAGCATAATCCACTAAAGATGTATGCAAAGTACATCATTTTGTCACTTCTGACATTGGCACCATAGCTTGAGTGATAACCTGCAACAGCCTTGAGAGCTCGGAGCCTCTCTTTATACTGATGACAGAGTCTGAATACAACAGGACCATACAGTGGCACCTCAAGGCCAAGGTATTTGAATCTTTTCTCTGCTTTCATAACTAAACCTAAGTCCTGACACGAGTCTAATACAGAGTTAAGAGTGTTTTGTGTGTTAGCATACTTAGTGGCACACAAACACAAACCCACACGCACACACACACGAACACACACATACACACACACACATGGAAAAAGTGCAGCGGCATGCTACAAAATGGCTTCCGGAACTGAAAAACAAGAGTTACGAGGAGAGACTACAGGCATTAAACATGCCTAAACTAGAAGATAGAGGAGAAAGCGGTGATATGATCACCACATACAAAATTCTAACAGGAATCGACCAAATTTACAAGGAGGAATTCCTGAATACAGCAACATCACGAACACGAGGACACGGTTTCAAGTTAAGGAAACAGAGGTGCCGAAAAAACAGTAGAAAGTTTTCTTTTACAGAGTGGTAGACGGTTGGAACAAGCTAAGTGAGAAGGTGGTGGAGGCCAAAAGAGTCAGCAGTTTCAAAGTGTTATACCACAAAGAGTAGTGGGAAGACGGGACACCACGAGTGTAGTGGTGTAGTTACAGGATGTCACACCATCCTGTAACTACACTTAGGTAATTACACACACACACAGTTTAAATTGTATAAAATAAAATTAATGAGTGTAATAATAAAAGATACAAACAGACCACAAACTTTCAATAAATATATATTTGACCAAAAATATAGTGCATTCACATGTAAAAAAAAAAAATTGCATTACATATATTTTTGGAAGTGTCTGAACTGTAGTTGAAAACTATTAATTCTGGCAGTATTGCATCAGTAATTCTTCTAAGGATTCACTGCAATGTTGTGTCAGGTGTAATATAAGACATTTAGTAGCAGATATTAAACAATATCAACTAGTGCTGTGTTGGTAACACTGCGTGCTGGCCTCAGTCATGTTGTTACTCTTCACTTCAGCTGGTTAACAAGCATTAAAATGTACCTTTAAATCAAGGACTCTTATCCGAGGGGTATCAATGCCCATTTTGGGGTACGGGACTCGATCTCTAAACAGTTAAAACAAAAACAAATAGTTGTATGAGAATGTGCTAAATCCTTGTGATTTTCTTTCAGCTGTTCTGTTGCTTCTCCTCACTATTTAAAGTTATACCCACCTATTGACATCTTTTAAGTCATAGTGATACATAAAAGTGATGATTTCGGTGATTCCCAGAGCCTGCCGGAGTGGGTATAGGGAGACACACTGGGTCTGGTATTGGGGTCTGGGGCTGTAAATAAGATTAAGAACCTAGGCGCAGTTGACTAAGGCGCGTCTGAGATTATCTCTGACGTAGGTTCGAACCCTCATCACGGCCCTTGTGGATTTGTTCTTAAGAATCTAGGCTTTAAATGTATATGTATTGATTAATTAACAAATTAATGTTCCATACTGAGGCTTTCATTGATGTGCAACAAAAACGAAATAACATGGTCAATTACAGCAATCCTCCTTAAATTATAGTACTTTTAGTAACTATTTGGTTAAAAGTACCAATTTGTAGTGATGTATTTATATGACTACTGATTTAGCCACTATATAATTTTCTTCTTTACTATTTTTAACTAAAATTATTATTATTATTATACTGTGTATCTAATGTTGCATTTCAGCGAATGTTTTACTTGCAAGTTAAAAATGCCATCTTAAGTGATGAAATCTACTGCCCACCTGATGCTGCCGTACTGATGTCTTCCTATGCCGTGCAAGCCAAGTATGGGGACTACTCACCGGAGTACCACAAGCCGGGCTTCCTGGCCAATGATCGGCTGCTGCCTCAGCGAGTAATGGATCAGTTCAAACTGAAACGTGAAGAGTGGGAGGAGAAGATCACCAATTGGTACAAGGAGCACCATGGAATGCTGAGGTCAGTACAATTGGGCTCCCATTCACAATCGCCGATCTCAGATTTGAATCCCGGGCGAGGCAGAAATGGTTGGGCACGTTTCATTTCACCTAATGTTCACCCAGCAGAAAATAGTTAAGCAACTATTTTGCTTAATAGTTGCTCAACAGTTGCCGGGAGTTAGGCAACTGTTGTGGGGTTACAACCTGGGAAAGGTCTGTAGTTTGTTCCTGGGAAACTTCGATACAAGTCTGATATTTTCTAAAGAGTGAACTGACTATAAGGGTATTTTTCTATGACAGTGGCCAGGGTGATATTGGGGATTATACAGCATTTAGGGGGTAGAGCATCCTGCAGAGTCCTGTATTGAGATCAGGCTTGTTGAATTGTGAAGCGGCATGCCTTGTAAATACTACAATAGAGGGAATACCTGGCTGTGCCCGGACCTCTCCATCTCTCCTCCCCCTTCCTCTCAATCTCACCACGCTCCACCTTAAAAAAATTTAATTTCTCCCTCATCATACCCCCCCCCTCTTCACCTTTTTCCATGCCTATCTCCTTCCCTTTCCAAAAATCCCCCGACCCTTCTCTTCCACCCCCATTTCTGAGTCTCTCAGAAATTATTTCTGAGAGACACAGTGCAATTCATTCAATGCAATGATTTTGTTATTAAAATATGAGGTACATCTGCATTAGTGCAGCTACCCTAGACTATATGAAGTGGAGTACAGTGTGTCAAAAAAAGCTAACTAGGTGATGCTAAAAAATCCCCATCACACAGGATGGTTAGTCATACAGAGGCATGTGATAGACAGTCTGCACTGGCAGACTACGGATGCATTTTGAGGATATCATCAACACAAGATTGAATAAGGCAGCAGTGGTAATAAAAGTCCCCATCTCGCAGGATGGTTAGTCATACAAGGCCATATGTTTAGTAGCCTGCACTGGCAAATTTTGGGTACACTGTGAGGATATCTTCAAGAATACGAGAGTGAATAAAGTAATCGCAAAGCTCCAGGTACCTCATGCCAACTGGTCTGAAAGGTCTAATTTGTAAATATGTCTACAGGTAGCACAACCAATATTTCATACTTCATATAAAATTGCATGAGCAGGAGAGGACAGTTAGATGCCGATATTTGTTTAAAGCGTGGCACTGGAACCTACCCAGACTGGCCTTCGACACTCCCATATGTCCCATGTGTGAAAGTTGGGCGAGGCCAGACCAAGGCGTCTGGCCTCCAGCCTCGAACGGACATTCTTACAGATACAGGCCTCTCCTGCTTGCGTGTACTGGGAGAACACGTCCTGCCCTCTGCAGAGCTCATTGGCGCAATTATTTATTAGTTATTATTCTCGGTACTTAAAAAAAAACTATATAAATTTCTTGTTGTTGTAGCGTGGCTTCAGAATTTAAATAATGCAAATTTGAAAAAGAAATATATATAAGATTTATTTTAACTTTTAGTGGGTTCTTTTGGATACAATTGCTAATTAATTCCCCGTACAACAGTTTATATATAACTTGTCTCATCTTCTTATTGACTGCATTGGTCATTTAGTCTTGCTTTATATATACTGTCTTACTTGCAGAGATGAAGCCATGATGGAATACTTGAAATTAGCTCAGGACACCGAGATGTATGGTGTTAACTTCTTTGACATTAAGAACAAGAAAGGCACAGAACTCACTTTAGGAATTGATGCACTTGGAATCAATATCTATGAGAAAGATGACAGGTAAGTTATTATTTAACAAATTGTATGTTTGTTAAGCTTAAATTTTGAGTTTAATCCTTTGTTTCAGGATAAACATCCACAATGAAAATTAAGCACTGAATGTGCTTCATAAATCAACAGCATGTGTGTTGATACCAACTCTAAACTATATGAATACAATCAACGACATCCTCGGCGATGACATTAAATTTCAACGAATCACGAGGAGCCCTGTGGAAGACCTTAAATCCAAAGTGAACAAAACTATTACTGCAATCAACGCAAAGAGAAGTGGTGTTCATTTCACTAAAACTCTAAGGCGACTATGGCTTAAAATATGCCTATGGCAATGTTACGACACATAAACCAGACAACCCACTACGTCCAATAATAAGTCAGATACCAACTCCAACCTATCACCTGACAAAAAGACTAAACGAACTCCTAACTCCATATATTCCAAACAACTATAGTATAAAATCATCATCAGATTTCTTGGAAATAATAAAGACTACACAGCACGAAGGAATTATTGCTTCACTAATCCTTATTTACCAAACGTCCCGGTCGACACCACCATAGAAATGATCCTGACCAGAGTATACAGAGACAAGAACACTCCCAAATTAGACATGCCCGAGCCACACTTAGAGTGCCTTCTCGAGCCATGTACAAAGGATGCTCCGTTCATCAGTCCGCAAGGTAACATGTATTTACAGATAGATGGAGTAGCAATGGGCTACTCTCTTAGGAGTGTTATTTGCTAACTTTTTACATGGGAACCATCGAGGAGAGTTCAGTATCAGACACAAACCAAGAAGATACTGCCGTTATGTCGATGACATATTTGTAATAGTAAAAGACCCAGATGAACTAATTGATCTAAAATGCCATCTTGAGAGAGTCAGGACTTAGATTTACCCATGAAAATGGTGAAAAAACAGTCTGTCTTTCTTGGATGTGCTATAATAAAAACAGGAACCTCTCTAAGCACCAGCGTATATACTAAGCCTACAAACATAGGATTATGCCTAAAAAGTAGGAGTGAGTGCCCCCAAAGATAGTGTTCTCAGCGCTTATATTCGTCGAGCTCTTATCCACTGCTCTGAATGGAGCAACGTGAGTAGGGAGTTTGAAAGAATAACTCAGGTGTTGGTGAACAACGGATATAACAACACAGAAATAAACACTACTATAAGACGACACCTGAACCGATGGTACAATCCTGAACTAAGAACAGAAACTACAACACCTCCAATAAAATTATATTACAAATCAACCATGCACAATGAACATAAGAAAATAAGAAAGAATAATGAAATAAATACTCTGTAAAGGAGTTTTTTTTTATATTATTATTATTTTCTACCACAGAGGTGGCCACACATTTACAATGCTAACCAGCATATATACATTTTCTTCTGTCCTCCATGGACAGGGTTAGAGAAGTGTTAAACATATAGTTCAAGGGTTTATTGAACACTCAACCACAGAAGGTGATTCGGTGCTTTTAAAATGCTAAGCTAACCTACATACGTAAATACATACATACACAGATTTACGTATGCCCTACATAAAGTGTTTGATGTGTCTTTTACATAGTGTCATTAATGTACATTCACAAAGGTGAAATGTAATTCTGATCAGCTTCCATATATATTTTATACCCATACATATACATACACACACACATATACATACATATATACACACACATGCATTCACATACATCTGTCTCATTTACTCTGACAGGGTGAGATAGCTGATAAAGAAACTAGTGTGCAATTAAGCACTTAATCACTGAAGGTGATGAAGGTGCTTTTACAAGCTCAGGAGTAAAAAGTACAACTCCTAACTAAAACATAGACCTAATCATATACAGTAATATAAATCAAAGAAGACTACCGACCTCTTTATTAAAGACAGCCCGAAGCCGACGGAACACCTTTTACAGCAGTCAAACATGGTATATATGTACACTTGCCCCCCATGAAGGATGTAGCCTTTAATCTAAGTACATAGGTATGACGTCGACCAACCGAGGCGTTTGACCTTGATTTGATTGTTGCCGCCGAAGGCGGCTAGTTTATTGTGCACCCCATACTCATCCTGTGAGCGGTAGCCCAAAAGCATTACAGAGGGCACAAAAGGTCTTTATCAGACCTCATCTTAGATTATTACATAAACAATTTCACACACTTGTCGTTTTTAGTGAATTTGTCTACCTCTATCCTCAGTTTCATTACCTGTTCCTTCATTGTTGTTTTTCTCCTGATGTGGCTGTGCAACAATTTAGGTTGAGTCTTTGCCTTGCTTGCTATGTCATTTTTATATTGTCTTTCTGCCTCTCTTCTCACCCTGACGTATTCATTCCAGCACTCTGGTATCCATCTCTGCTCCCTAGTGTCCTGTTATTTCTATAGTTTCCCCAAGCCCTTGTAGTTTGTTGCTTTGCTAGCCTACATCTCTGATTAGTAAAGTAAAATAAATTTTATTCAGGAAAGTACATACATAGTTGATTTACAAGCATAATGTTGGATTTATAGATAGAGGTAGTACATACAATACCTAAAGCCACTAGTACTCATAGCATTTCAGGCCAGGTGAGGTGGGGAAAAAACACTTAGACTAAAACTTAATAGTAATTGAGCTTAAAGTATAAATTGCGTTGAAAAATATAAAAGATAAAAAAGGATGGGAACATGGTAGAAAATAGCCAATATACAAGTTGGTCAACAAACAGCATTGTTTAAAAATAGTAAGACATGGGTTGACATTTAGGGGTAAGGTAGGTTACATGGAGTTAATTAGGTATTACTTAGTTTTCATCTTAAAGTGGTTGAGAGAGGTACAGCATTTGACATGATTGGGAAGGTCATTCCACATTTTAGGTCCCTTGATTTGTTGAGCATTTCTAGTTTGATTAAGTCGTACTCTTGGAATATCAAATAGGTATTTGTTTCTGGTGTGGTGCCCATGGGTTCTGTTACAACCTTCAAAGAAGGTTTTAAGGTCAGGATTGACATTACAATTCGGAGTTTTAAATATATAGAGTACACAAGAGAGGATGTGCTGACTTAATATCTAACATATTTAGAGATTTGAGTAAGGGTGCCGTGTGCTGTCTGGGGCCAGAGTTAGATATTATTCTAATAGGAGCTTTGTGTTGAGTAATTAGAGGACGTAAATGATTTTGGGTAGTAGAACCCCCAAGTACAAATACCATAGTTGAGATAAGGATAGATGAGGGAGTAATAGAGCGTCACCAGGGCACGGCGGGGTACATTATATCTGATCTTAGAAAGAATGCCAACAGTTTTAGAAACATTTTTTGCTATATTTAGAACGTGTCCCTGGAAATTCAGCTTGTTATCGATGAGGACACCAAGGAATTTACCATCAACTTTACTACTGATATGTATATTGTTTATTCTTAGATTAATTTCATTTGAGGATTTATTACCAAACAAAATATAGAAAGCTTTGTCAATGTTAAGAGTGAGTTTGTTAGCAGTTAGCCAGAGATGGACTTTATTTAGTTCAGTATTCACAGTGACATTTAGAGCAAGGGGGTCAGGACTGGAGAAAATGAAAGTTGTGTCATCAGCAAATAAGATTGGTTTGAGGTTTTGAGAGGCATTTGGAAGGTCATTAATGTAAATGAGAAAGAGGAGAGGGCCAAGTATGCTGCCCTGTGGCACACCAATGTTTATGTGTAGTGTAGGAAAATGGAATTATTCACAGAAACTTGGGAGTGCTACCCAATCTCCCAATCTTCATGTATCCAATCCGAACAACTTTACCATTGTGATCATTGCTGTCTTCTTATATGCGTTATCAATTTGCTGTATGGTGCCTATTAATCTTGTTTAAATTACCAATCAAGCTGTCAATGTAATCAATCAGAGCTTTAATATACCAATGTGCTTTAATATACTTACTAATCTCTCTCATCTCATTTTTTTTCTTGCAATGTATCTGTTATCATTTTATTAATTCTGCTAGAATTTACCTACTTAAAATTATCTGTTAGATTAAGGACCTGCCCGAAACGCTGCGCGTACTAGTGGCTTTACAAGATTGTAAACACCATGTTATGTATTCTCACAAACCCAATGTACCTTCTTGTATATATATAAATAAATAAATAAACATACTGGAGCCTGTCAGTAAGGTAAGACTGAAGGTATTGCAGGGAGTGACCTCTGATTCCATAATGATGTAATTTAAGAAGATGATTTTGGTGGTTGACAATATCAAAAGTCTTACGTAGGTCAACAAATAACCCAACAGGGAACTCATTTTTATCAAGAGCTGTATGTATCAAGTTAATCATACTAACAAGTGCATCGTTAGTGCTTTTATTGGGTCTGAAACCATATTGGCAAGAGCTAAGTATATTGAGTTTGACTAGATATGAGTAAAGCTGCTTGTAGTAAGTAGCTTTAGTTGCTGCTGTAGCTTTTCAAATATTTTTTTACAAATTAAACCATAAGTTTATCGTCTGCAATTCATTTTTTCCTTTTGGACTAGGACGAACTTGTCTGCTGCCTTCTTACACTTATGTGTGATGTAGTCCACATATGACAACAGTAGATGTGTGTGTGTATCTGTGACTTCCAAGAGTTTGGTGAAGTTCCTGGTTTCAGGAATTCCTCTTTGCCAAATTGATCTATTCCTGTTAGTATTTTGTAAGTGGTGATCATATCACCTCTCTTTCTCCTATCTTCTAGTTTTGCCATATTTAATGCCTCTAGTCTCTCCTCGTTTTTCAGTTCCAGAAGCCAATTTGTAGCATGCCGCTGCATCGGTTCCGGTTTATTTATGTGCTTCTTGAGATTTGGGCACCATACAGCTGCTGCATATTCCAATTTTGGTTTCACAAAAGTTATGAACAGTTTCTTTAATATTTCACCATCCATATAATTAAGAGCAAGTCTGAAGTTGGAAAGCGACACATACGCTCCTCTCACAATGTTCTTTATGTGTTCCTTTGGCGACAGCTTACTATCTAAAACCACGCTTAGGTCTCGTTTTTTAATAGTTATGTAATTTCATTTCACATAATTTGTAACTTGTGTGTGGTCTATTTTCTCTGATTCCACATTCCATAACATGGCATTTATTCACACTAAATTTCACTTGACGCTCCAAGTTCAAATGACAAATGACGCTCATTTTATCTGGATCGATGTGAAGGGCAAATCGATCCAGATAATCGTTTGCGTCTCCCATCTTCCCCAGTATCTTGGCATCATCCACAAACATGTTCAAATAATTCTGTATTCCTTCTGGTAGGTCGTTTATGTAGACGATAACATTACTGGCGCAAGAACTGAACCCTGTGGTACTCCGCTAGTAACACTTCTCCAGTTAGATATTTGTCTCTGATTACTGCCCTCATCTGTCTGTCAGTTAAAGAAAAATTCATCCATCTCAGAAGTCTCCTTGTCACCCCTCCAGCATGTTCCAGTTTCCAGAACAGCCTCTTGTGTGGGACTCTATCAAAAGCCTTTTTTCAGGTCCAGATAGACACACAACTCAACCACCTCTTTCCTGTAGTATCTCTGTGGCATAAAAACTAAGTCTATTTGTTACACAGGATCTTCCTGTTCGAAAACCATACTGTCTGTCCGTTATGGTGTCTATTTCTAGGTGTTCAACCCATTTGGCTTTAACTATTGTTTCTAGGGTTTTGACTACCACGCTTGTTAATGACACGAGTCTATAATTTAGAATTTCCTCTCGACTACCATTTTTATAAATTGGTATTATGTTTGCCTTTTTCCATATATCTGATAAGATTCCTGTGCATGTCTGAGATATACATTTTAGTGGAATACTCAGCTCAGTTGCACAGGGGGTGTTCTCCATCTCTCACAGGGGGTGTTCTCAGAGGATGTTCTCCATCAGATCCAACCGCTTTATTTCTTCTAGCCTCATGAGTAATTTTTCCACTTCGTTTTGCGATGCCTCTATGTATTCTGTGGCGTGTACTAGAATTGGTATTTGGTCCGGCTCACTGAAATCCTCATTTTGTTCCAATACACTTTGGAACTTGCTTATTTAACATTTCACACATTTCTTTTTCATTCTCAGGAGGAGAATATTCCCCTTTCTCAATCTCTGGATTTTATATTTTATATGCAGCTTGCTTTTAATGAATTTGTAGAAAAGGCCTGGATCGGTTTTACATTTGTCTGCTATACCTTTCTCAAAGTTTCTTTCTGCCTCTTTTTTTTCTCAATGCTGTGTAATTGTTTCTTGCTTGTTTGTAATGCTGAATGTTAAATGTTAAAGTAGTCTTGTGACTACTCTAACACATCTCACATAGGCAGTGTAGAGTGTCCTGACAGTTACTGGGATGCTTCACAGCTTTGCATGTACTGCTGGTGTGATTCTGTTGATAATGCACAGAATATAATCTGCTGACAGGTTTGGTGTTGTAAACTATCAAATCCTTTCCTTTTTCTGACTCAAGTAACTCCCTTCCTCTCATTGTATACTGGCCATGTGGTCTCCTTGCTCCCCATTCCACTTGCATTACCATACATTTACTTGTGTTTAAGTCGAGAAGCCATCTTTCAAATTGTTTCTGCATTTTGTCTTGGTCACCCTGAAGCATTCTACTGTATCAATCAACCCAAATACTATAATAATCTATGATGACAATAACAGAGCTCTAAATCTGTACAGTTCTCTTTATCATAAGATTACGAGATACACACCTAAGAAATAATTTTTTTTATCACGTTTTACAGATTAACTCCTAAGATTGGGTTCCCTTGGTCTGAGATTCGCAACATCAAGTTCCACAATGTAAAATTTCTCATCAAACCTATTGAAAAGAAATCTCCAGATTTTATTTTCTTGGCATCACATGTGAGAGTGAACAAGACCATTCTGCAGCTGTGCATGGGCAACCACGACCTGTACGTCAGGCGTCGCAAGGCTGACTCCATTGACGTGCAACAGATGAAGATTCAGGCTCGTGAGGAGAAAACTGCCAAGAAAAATGCGTCGTAAGTGCTTATTTGTAAATTTCTAAAGTAGAATTTTAATTTCTAAAGTAGAATTTTATAAAAAATAAACATTTAAAACTGGGTTGCAAGTAAAAAATTTTTTTTGACATATGGGGGGCAGATTAAATTTGTACATACTGTATATTTATATGATTTATTTACCAGCTTCACAAGACTTACTTCTTTAGCTAAATGAATTGTGGGATTCAGTTTATGAACCCATTCCTCCATCGACCATGGGATGGGTGTGGGGTGCATAATAAATTACTAAACTACCCGGTAACTCACTAACACACCAAACTATTTAAAATAACTAACTACTTTAATCACTCATCTCACATAAATTTCAGTTCCCTTCTCTTTCCATTAACAATATTTCTGTGCGTTCACTTTTTGCAGTCTTCTCATGAGCAACAATAAGACTCCCAGCCAGTCTACATAAATCATAAGTACTGTATACAAAAATGTTGACATACTGTATTGTACTCTATATACAATACTGTACTGTATATACAGTACTGTATCTATATACAATACTGTATCTATATACAGTACTGTATCTATATACAGTACTGTATCTATATACAGTACTGTATCTATATACAGTACTGTACTCTATATACAGTACTATACTCCTATTGAAATCTACAATGGGTTACTAGACACGGTATAGGAAACACAGGTACAATAATAACAAGCAGTACATGGGTACAGGTTATGTCTGACACTGAAGTCAACATTAGTTTATCTTTTAATAGGAACTATGCAAGCTAATGTGGTCCAAGGATATTTAAGGTAGATGAGTGGACCATAGTAAGACGTTGAGACGTATTGCTAATAGGGAAGTTTGTGGGGTGAATGGTTGAAATGGCCCCAGTGCCTTATCTACTTATAGTTGACAGGTTGCAAAGGTGATTATGACATGGTAGCATCTAAAATTCTCCTATTCCTCCTTTCATCTGATGAGGTAGCAGTCTAGAAATCGTGTGGGTGAAAAAACATCAGGCAGTGTATTTGGAGAGCTGTTCAGGAGGTTGAGTTATTCAGGAGTTAATTGACTTATCAGTTATTCAGGAGTTAATTGACCCGTTCTCGCAAATTTAATAAGTCAATATTGACTTATTAAATATGTGCATAGGTGACATACTTAACATAATAAGATACCCTTAAAAAGATTCATAGAAAACACCGACCTTACCTAACCTTGTTAGTATCTTAAGATAAGCATCTTATTGCTTCGTAATTACAATTATTACCTAACCTATAATAGGTATAGGTTAAGTAATAATTGTAATTACGAAGCAATAAGATGCTTATCTTAAGATACTAACAAGGTTAGGTAAGGTCGGTGTTTTCTATGAATCTTTTTAAGGGTATCTATTATGTTTAGTATATCACCTATGCACGTAGTTAATAAGTCAATATTGACTTTACGAATTTGCGAGAACGGGTTGTATTGCAATTGGTAATAGAATGTTGGAGAAGCAGCTGGAATAGGCAATATCCTCCCCCATCCTATGAAGTTGCATTTAAGTAGTCGAAAGATGATTGAAACAACAGATTATCCCATAGTAAAGTGAGGTAGCGATGCAGGTGTTGTTGGCGGAGAAGCTAGTGGGAGAGTGGATGAATACAGGCATGTGACATATGTGATATTGATCACACTCCCATTATACACTTGGTCACACTCTTCTGTAATATTATCAAGATCTTCCTCATGACTCCATCCACTTACTGTATACATTTACTGTATTGAACAAGCATGATTTTATGAGAAAGGTAGCTTTGTGATAAATGCCATTGTTACATATTATAAATATGTTACTTAACAGCATAAAGCTTGCCCGTGAGATGACCTTACGCGAAGAGGCAGAAAAAAGGCAGAAAGAATATGAAGAACGCCTTGAAGAGATGCGTAGAGAAATGGAAAAACGTCAGAAAGAACTTCACGAAGCCCAGCACACAATACACCGCCTGGAGGACCAGCTTACAGAACTACAAGCTGCCAAAAATGAACTGGAGCATAATCAACAGGAGTTAAAACACATGATGCAACACTTAGAAGAAGCCAAAGAGATGGAAGCTGGAGAAAAGGCAAGGCTAGAAGAGGAAATACGCGCCAAGCAAGAAGAGGTTCAGCGTATTCAAGAAGAGGTTAATATTAAAGATGAAGAAACCAGGAAGCTCCAGGTATGGTTTAGGTTTTTGTCTTGCTCTTACTGAAACAAATAAAATAAAATCAAGCAAATCATCAGTATCAACCAATTTAAAAAGTAACTTAATATCATGTACACACATTATATATTAGCAATCTGTCCAGCACAATGTTAAGCATTTATTAACAAAAGGCTTTATAAAAATGGGCAAAGATCATGAAATATGAAGTTTAAAGTCACAGCAATGGGGGCAGAAAAGTATGATTGACTGGTGAGGTGGATATCACTAAGTAAACATTAACTCTGATTTAGTCATTTTTTAACGACGAATAAAGGCTGTACAAGATGCTAAGTACATGAGCTCTGTGGTGAACTACAAAGACAAATGAAATTTAAATACTACATTGTGCCCTGAATTCTCACATATTTCACTGCATTTATTTATTACTCTCAATAGGCTGAAGTGGAAGAAGCACGCCGCAAAGAGGAAGAAGCAACACTAGCTCTTCTGACTGCCTCTACTGCACGCAGAGTCTCCAGGCAGTCATCTTCCTCATCGTCCGAGAGTGAAGATGAAGAGAAAAGCAATGATTTCAGAAGAATGGAAGCCCCAATGCAGCAGAGTTCATACAATGGAGATATATTTGATTATGAAAGGAAAGATAAAAGTCCAACCAGCACCAATACATCTAGGAGTGCAACTCCAAGTGTTACATCCCATGCTATGGAAACAATTAGTGTGAACTCTGAAATCTTGGAACCAAAACAAGACACTTCTGCAGTTAGAAGAATGAAATTACTTGAGGTAAGTACACTTTATTCCTTGTTTATTATTATTATTATCTATTGAAGACTGCAAAAGAGCACAAACCCTAACAAACAATATAATGTAGAGCACAATGATATCATAATAATGTGATGTATCTGAGAAAATATTCAAATTAGTCTAGAAAAAATGCAAATTCATTATTTCCTAAAGATGATGTGCATGTTTCCTCACAAGGCTATGTTCCTTTGCAAGAACTAGTTTCTACTTTGCTAAGATGGCAACAAGTTGAATATTTCACAGGAATTTTAACACACTTTTTGAAGTTGAAGATAATTTCTTTACAGTACAATAATACAGTGACATTTGTCAGCTAAAGTTTTTGCCAATTTAGATATAAAATCTTATACTGCAGTCTGATTTGTATTACAGTATATTTATTTACTAGCTGTACCCGGCCACACGTTGCTGTGACTCAGCGTTGCTGAGCCACAGCAGGGCAACCCTTCCCTGTTCCCCCATCCTCCCCACCATCCCCCAATCCCCCATCCCCTCGTCCTCCCCACCATTCCTCCTTCCTCGTCCCCTCGTCCTCCCAACCATTCCCCACTCTCCTGTCCCCTCGTCCTTCCTACCATCACCCATTTCCTCGTCCTCCACACCATCCCCCACTCCCCTGTTCCCATGTCCTCCCCCACCATTCTCCACTCCCCCATCCCCTTGTCCTCCCCCACCATCCCCCACTCCCCCGTCCCCTTGTCCTCCCCACCATTACCCCCTTCCCGTCCCCTCGTCCCCCCCACAATTCCCCACTCCCTCATCTGATGTATTCCCAAATGATCTGATGTTCCCATCAGAAAAATGGGAACATCAAACGATCTGATGTTCCCATCACTGAAACTTAAGAAGAACAGTTAAAAAAAAAAGAAATGAAAAAATACAAAAATAAATTATACCAGTACTCACAAAATGAACGGTATGGTAAACAACACAGCTCAATTCCAACACAATGTCACACAAAATAATTAAATCAAAATGCAAATAAATCAAAATCTATGAAAATTCAACTTATCAATGAAATCAGAAACATTGAAATGGAATCATAGCAGATTTAGTATGGCATGTGTTGCTCTTAAGTGCAACAGATGGTGCTGTTTTAAAAAAAAAAAAAAAATGATTTCACCTGTCACAGGTGTGGCATCTATACTTGTACTCACGAAATGAACGGTATGGTAAACAACACAGCTCAATTCCAACGTAGTGTCACACAAAATTAAATCAAAATGAAAATAAATTGAAATCTATGAAAATGCAATTTATCAATGCAATCGGAAACACTGAAATGGAATCATAATACATTTAGTATAGCGTGTGTTGCTGTTACGTGCAATAGATGGTGCAGTTTAAAAAAAAAATGTTTTTACCTGTCACATGTGTGGCATCTATATAGTAGGTATATAAACATACGTGCATATTCGAATGGAACATTGTGTCAAAATTTAAAAGCAATCGGTGAAGAACTTTCGGAGATTACCGATTTTGAACAAACGAACATTTACATTTTTATTTATATAGATATGTTTACCTGAATGTGCTTGCATGTTTAAATATTTCATATGCTCAGTTATGCATAACATTTATTAGGTTTGATTGAACTTTATTAGAAGATGAGATTTAAGCCCAAGACAGATGTTAAAGCCACAAGACTATTTAGCACTAAACTATTGATTTGTACTTGTCGATAACTTAAACATGCCTTTTGTAAGCCATGAGTTGTTTAGCCTTTTGATAGTAATTTGTTTAGTTAGCATTAGACTGTATTTCATATAGGCTAAGTATTCTTTGTAGTAATATATACACCTGTACCGATGTTTACGGTACATGAGGATTCGAACCTGTATGCTGGGTATTCCCATGCACACACCCTAGACAAATAGGCTACGACATGATTAAAGGATTGCAACCAAGGGTTCTACTAAATCCTCAAGAGTTCCGGAGGCTTGCACTGAAGTTGAACTGGAGTTTAACACACAATCCCTACATGTACTCTTGCTCCTTCATCTAGAAATGTTCTACCTCTGATGCTCCTATTTCTGTACATAGAGAAATCACACTAATGTGATGTATCAATTAAAAAATCGCTAGGAGCTGTGATGAGGATTTGAACCTATGAACTGTGTATTTCCATGCACACGCCCCAGATAACTAAACCACAACATGGTAAAAGAATTACTGTATCTTGAGATCATTTCGGGGCTTAGCGTCCCAGCGGCCTCCTTTTTTGTTACACACCCCCCAGGAAGCAGCCCATAGCAGCTGTCTAACTCCCAGGTACCTATTTACTGCTAGGTAGCAGGGGCACCAGGGTGAAAGAAACATTTTGCCCATTTGACTCTGCCTCCACTGGGGATCGAATCCAGAACCTCAGGACTATGAATCCGAAGTGCTGTCCACTCAGCAGTTAGGTACCCACAACCTGGATTGCAACCTGGAGTTCTACTGAACCCTGAAGGGTTCCTGAGGCTTCCATTGAAGCTGAACCAGGTTTTTTACACAATTCCTCTGCATCAGTTAGAGAGCAATATGTCAGCCTTTTGGAGATAGTCCACATGATCGAGGATAACCACTGAATTGCTTCTATCGGAAGGAAATATAAGAAAAGAGTTGTTAGCTTTCAGGGAGGCAAGGGCAAGCTGGAGGTGATGAGGAAGGTGGTGATTTTTAGAAAAACTGTCAAGACACACAGAAATCACAATAGCGTGATGCATTAAATGAACAAATCCACAAGGGCCGTGACGAGGGTTCGAACCTATGTCCGAGAGGATCCCAGACGCGCCTTAATGGACTGAGCTACGACATGGTAAAAAGAATTGTAACTGGAAAATCAACCTTAACCGACTGGGGGGAATTGTGTAAAATCCTGGTTTGTGTCTTGGTGAGACTGCAGGATCCGTGGTAGGTCAAATTGATTTCCCGGTTGCAATTCTTTTAACCATGTCGTAGCTCAGTCGATTAAGGCACATCTGGGATCCTTTTGGATGTAGGTTCGAACCCTCGTCACGGCCCTTGTGGATTTGTTCAAACTGTCAAGAGAAGGGGATTAAGGCCCACCCTCCCCCTGAAGGAAGAATGATCCAAAAAGAGTACCAGAATTAGAATTGTGTAACTGATCACAGGAACTAATGAGATCAATGCCACAGTGGGGAACAGGTGTAGTAGTAAGGGAGAGACCAAGTAGTTCTTGCTGGTGCTTAGAAAGAAGGGGTTGAAGAAAGGTTGGCAACAGAGATAATTTAGCCTAAGGACTGTTGGAAATCAGAAGCTTTAGTTTATTGTGAAGCATGGAAAGGTGGTGGGAGAGTCAAGCAATGTGTAAAGCAATGGGAAATATGAGATTACACAGATCACTGGGAAGAGAAGACAAAACGTGGTGTTGATGTACTGTCTGAAAAGCATCGTCATTTTGTAAGGTGGTGGAGAGATTAAGTTCTTGAAGAAGAAGGTTCAGGAAAAAAACCTGAAGTACTGAATTGGAGAAAGTTAGAAAAGGAGCAAGGCAGAATTTGTTCCACAAGGCAGTCTTTAAGAATCCTTAGTTCTTGCAACAGCTGGCAGTAACAAGTAGACTCGTAGGCACAAACAGGCTGTTTGAAAGAAGGTAAAGAATTGAAGAAATTAAAGAGTAAGATGCTGGGATCCATATACAGACGATGAATCACAATGTGGCTGAAGATATGATATCTAAACCACACATCAGAAAATCAAGAAATAACAACGTTTCAGTCTGTCCTGGACCATTATCAAGTTGTGTAATAGAGTGAGAGAGATAAACAATAAGGGAAGAGTAAGATGTAATGCTCTAACCTCCTCAACAAATGTGATCTGACTTAGCATTGCCCCCTCTAGGGTCTCTTCCTTTTTCTTTTGTTATTAGATTTCTTTTATCTTCACCATTAGACTTCTTGAAGTTTTCTTTTATTATTTATACCTTTCTGTTTTTCAAACTTTTTCTTACTTATACCCTTTTTTCTATTCTTCCTTTTTCTTTGCCTTACTTTTAACTTTTCCTTTATTCTTACTTTTCCTCTTATTCTTTCCTTTCATCTTCTTATCTTTATCTAACGCTTTCATTTCACCTTTCATCTCCTAATCTTCATCTATCGCTTTCATTTCACCTTTCATCTCACTAACTTCCCTCATATATTTTATTTCTTCCACACTCTCTATTAAACAACTTGATTTTGATCCAGGATAGACCAAAATTTCTTCATTTTCTGATGCGTTTGGATGTCATATCTTCAGTCACGTTATTGTGACTCAACATCTGTGTGGGGAATAAATCTAATATGATTTTATGGAATCATATTTACATTCAATGTTATGTTCAATAGGTTATGGTTCATACAGTACTGGTAATGCATTAATCAACTGAAAATAAATTTAGGTAAAACAACGAATAAATAAGTAGAATTAAATGAGTAAATTGGAGCAAAAATTAAATACTTAATATCCATCAAAATTAGTGTATTTTAGTATTTTTTAATTAAATATTTCTTATTTGAAATAAAATACAATAATAATGTAATTTTTATATCACTAGTAATGAGGCAGGTACAGTAGTAGATTTCAGTGACAAAATTAATAGCCAGTTATGATAAAATATTATAAAAGATTGCTGAAAGCAAGATCTAGTATTGCAACACTAGACTTACTAAAGAGAAAAATATTTGCTAAGATTATTATATACTATTGCAACTGTACAACAGTATAACTTATATTACTGTAAATACTTTATTAAACACATAATTTAAGACTATTTAATATTTTATTGGTCACAGGAAGTGAAGCGGTCTTTGGCACTAGACCGAATGCCTGATGAAATGACAAACTTGGACAAAATTTACAACAGAAACATCAATGACGGTAATACCAAGTACAAGACACTGCGGGAGGTGCGCAAAGGAAATACCAAACGAAGGGTTGATCAATTTGAGAACTGGTAGAGCAGATGCTGAGTAGGAAGCATTTTATATTAATAATTTTGTTTTATTGTATTTGCAGTTTTATTTTAGCATATCTGTGCTATAATGCATCAAAATACACATTATTCCTATTATGTTATATTATGGCCTAAGTTATAACTGCACAATGTAATCTTTTGAAAACTTCTAATAAATAAATATACAGTACCTTTTTTTTAAATTAAGATACAGTATGTTTACTGAATACACAGATGATATGTCTATTCAGTAAAAATACTGTGCAGTATGATTAAGGGATATACTTTAAATCAACTGTGAAGTCTTTTGGAAGAGTAACCTCTTTTCTTAACAACTATGAAATATCAACTTTACAACTGTGAAAATAATTTTTGATTTTCAGTATTATCATCCTTGTGTTGTTGCAAGCCAGCAATAAAATATAATTGGAGTACTGTATCAAGTTATTAAAATCAGTGTAATGTAAGATGATTTGTAAAAATGCAACTGGATTTGTGTGTGTAGTTCCTGAAAATAATCCAGGAGTCATTGTAGTGCTACATATGCTTTCTTATCTGCAATCCAAATCACTAAACTAAATAAATTAGGTTTTAACCTTAAGTGAGCTGTCACGTGGGACATCTCGTCTCTTCTGAGATAATGTTCTAGTAGAGTACAGTAGTTTTAAAATATAATAGGTTTCTATAAATAGGAAATCAGCCTAAAATGAGTGAAAATGAACACATTCATTATATTATACAGTACCAGCATACTCTTATCACTACACTTCACTGAAATGTATCTTTCAGTATATTAATGAAACAAACAGTTACAGCACATTCAAAAAAGAATTCTACTCTATTTTTTTTAAATAAAATTCAAATTTTTCATACATTTAAGTACAGTATATGGTATTTGGAAAGTAGCCTAACAATCAATTAACGAAGTAGGATGCCTTAGCTAATACTTCTTCCTAATGGAATTAAAATTTATAAAATACAAATTATAATTGTCACAATTAAAAAAATAATTAAAGAATGAATCTTGGCAAATATGAATTATTCACCTAATAATTTGAATAAGTGGTATGGTGTATCCTTGTGCCCACTTATATGGGATGGTGTATTACCATACTCACTCACCTCCATTTGTGTAATTTAAATATACTGCAGTTTGAATATCATCCCATCTTCCTGTAATTTATCATTAGTCTAAAACTAGTCCTTTCTTTAGATTACAGTAAATCCAAATCATATGTTATGGCAGTACTGTACCAAGACAACTGGAAGCTGGCATCTTGTCAAGAAACCTTCATCCCTATTTTACCTGATTTTATCTATCTGGATTTTGAACTGTAACAATGGTTTGGCACTTACATCTTTGGCAGGTAGGCAATGCCATAGGTTTATAACCCTATGGGTGAAAAAACCAGCGTTGAATGTAATGAAACGCCATTTTCTGGGCGAGTCCCGGAGGCTCCCCGGAGCTATCCCAAGGTTGATATGCTAATGTCAGACTTTGGCATCATTCATGTGTATGGAGTTCTTAGGCCTACCGGGGACCATGGCCAGAACCGGGCCCCCTCAGAGAGGCAAGGGGAGCAATGGCCTATAGAAGCCCCCGTGTGGTTGGAAGCATTCTATGTCTGCCATCGACCGGAACAGGCACCCAGAAAGGTAAGCGCCTCAAAACAAACCCCTATTCTGGTTAAAATTGCTACCAAAAGCCGAACTAGTGGATAGAACTCCCCACAGAAAAAAAGCAAACTAGTGTGATGTCACACACCGCCGCGCCACTGTCTGCGCAGCTCCCCCCTCCCCGGAAGGGGGAAGGGGGAGCCCCAACCGGAACTATTGTTATATTACGGAGCGACACACACAGGTGTGGTCAGGAAAAACAGTAGCCTACACCGTCTGCAGACTTAGACCCATCTGTGAAGATGGAAACGGAGCAGGAATGTGAAGTGTTCAAGGAAAAGGCGTTTCAGAACTGTAGGAGGGGTAAAAACTTTAGTGATGTGAGTTAGGGATTTGCAATATTGAGGAAGGGAGACCTTCCATGGGAATAAGGACGGAACACGAGGAGAAATTAGAAATACTAACCGAAAGAGAATGTTGCAGGGGAGACAACCGGACAGAAAGAGGGAGGTGGTGAAGGGGAACAGGAACTACAGGAGGGGGAAAAGTCAAAGCACGACAGAGGCGAGAGTGAGGGTGTTGTAAGGATCGCGCAAAGTAGCAAAAACAGTAGTGATCACGGCGGTCCTGGAGAGACAGGAAGCCAGTGTTAACGTGCAAGCTAAGGGCAGGAGTCGAACAAAAGGCACCAGAGCCGAGGCGCAGCCCAGTATGGTGCATAGGATCAAAACGGCGAAGAGTAGGAGAAGTAGCAGAAGAATAAGCAGGGCAACCCTATCGAGTTCAGACAGTACGAGAGGAATGCAAATAGAGGAGCATGCGCCTATCTGCTCCCCAAGAAGTATGGAACAAAACCTTAAGTAGGTTAAGGGCCTTAGAGCATTCAACTCAGAGGTAAGAGATATGGAGCAACCAAGACAAACAAGTGTCAAAGATTAACCCCAAAAGCTTCGCAGAATCTTTGTACACAAGAGGATGACCATAAAGCGACAGAGGGACGAAAAATAACATGCTTCCGAGTAAAAGTCATAGCACAAGTCTTAGTTACAGAGAACTTGAAGCCATGATTGGTGGCCCAAGACGACACGGCATCAATCACAAGTTGAAGGAGGCGAATCATCACCTTGACAGCAAAGAAAAAGATCGACAGAGTGGAGAAGACGCCAGAAGGAAGGGAGGAAAGACCATTGAGGGCCACCAGAAAGTAGTGCTCAGAATACTACCTTCGGGTACACCTTCGTATTGCCAAAAAGAGGCAGAGTGGGGCACCAAGCCTGACTCTAAAGGAACAACGAGAGAGGAAGCTTTGGAGGAAGAGAGGAAGATTACCACGAAGGTCAAAAGAACGAAGTTGGAACATAATCTGGTATCTCCAGGTGACGTCAAACATTTTCAGCATTGTTGCTGTCAAAAGGACAGCTACAACGGAGGTCTTCGCAGCAAAAGCAGTACGAATATAGACCTCCAAGTTCACCAGGACATCAGTGGTGATGCGGCACTTGCAAAAACCAAATTGAGAAAGAGGTGGTGATGGTATTCCAAGAACCACATCAGACGAACATTTACCATACACTCAAAAAGTTTTTAGACTACTCGTGAGAGCAGTAGGGTGGAAGCCCTTAGGGGATGTCCCAAGAACAGATTCGGTGTCCGAATAGGGAGAACGGCATCGAGCCAGCCCTCAGGGACTGACGAAGACTTCCAGACCTGGTTATACAGACTATGTAAATACCAAGACATTCACAAGGAGGGAGATGGCGAAGCATCTCATAATGAATGTCATCCGAGCCCGCTGCTGTAGAACCGCAGAGCCAAAGCAGACTGAAATTTATAGAGAAGGGATCGTTATAGGGAAGGCGGAGATGAGTGCGGAAATCTAAGGGACGAGATTCAAGAACGGGCTTACGAGGGAAGGAAGGATTGATGAAGATGAGAAACTGAGCTAACAGAAGAAAAGTTCGGATGTGACCTTCACTGGGTCCGCCACAAGAGTACCACAGAGGTGAAGGACCAGCGAGACATCTGGAACGAACTTACCCGCTATCTTGCAGATTTTCTTCCAGATCTACGGCAGAGAAGTATCAGATGTAATGGTGGAAACGTAAGATTTCCAACCCTCCCGTTTAGCGGTACAGATGGCCCTACGGGCCACCACACTTCCTTCCAAAACAAAAAAGAATCAGCCATCTGCCGGCGTCGGTATTTCTTCCAGGTTGCATGCTTACAGAGGACAGCCCGAGCATAATCCGCATTCCACCAGGGAATGCACTTCCGTGCCCCAGGAGGTAGAGCGGAGGGCAGCGTCAAAGACTCATGAAAAAGGAGGGCTCGAGGGAGAGGCAGAGCGGAGGGCAGAGAGAGTAGCACGGAGGGTGAATAGGTTCCAGTCAGCCTTGGCAAACTGCCACCTAGGGAAGGAAAGGTGAGGGTAAAGAGATAAAAAGATAAGGATGGGAAATGGTCACTTATGGAGGTCAAGAACCCACCATGTAAAATCTAAGTAGACACACGACGAGCAGAGAGAAAGATCAAGACAGGAAAGGGTGCGAGTGCGAGTCCACATGAGTGGGTTCACCAGAATTCAGAAGACACGGGGAAGAAGACAAATGGTTTGAGAAGGCAGCCGCAGGTGTTTATCAGAACATCACCCCAGAGGGTATATCGACATTTGAAATTACCCAACAGGAGCACCGGCTCTGGCAAGGAGTCCAGGTGGTGCTTAAGATCAGGAAGGGAGAGCAGGACATTTGGGGGGCAGGGGGGGGGGGGGGAAGAGAAATGGAACAAACCGTATACCATTTTCTCACAAAAACACTGGCAGAACATTTGGATAGGCAATTGAAAAAATAGGGTACGGGCTCACCATAGCCCGTGTTACTTGGAACCTGTTTCGAGTAGCTGAATCTATAACAACAACAAAGTAGGGGGACGAAGGGAATATCAGTATGAATCAAGCAACCCGTTCTCGCAAATTTAATAAGTCAATATTGACTTAGTTGTGTGCATAGGTGACATACTAAACATAATAGTTTCCCTTGAAAAGCTTCATAGAAAACACCGACCTTACCTAACCTACTTAGTATGTTAAAATAAGCATCTTATAGCTTCGTAATTACAATTGTTAACCTATTATAGGTATAGGTTAGGTAATAATTGTAATTACGAAGCAATAAGATGCTTATCTTAACATACTAAGTAGGTTAGGTAAGGTCGGTGTTTTCTATGAAGCTTTTCAAGGGAAACTATTATGTTTAGTATGTCACCTATGCACATATTTAATAAGTCAATATTGGCTTATTAAATTTGCGAGAACGGGTTGGAATCAAGAGAGCAGTAATGTTATGAACCCCAGGGGCAGGGGGGGAGGGGGGGGGGGGGAGAAGAAAGGAATAATCACAAAAGTGACCAGGATGAGCACCAAGCATCGGCTCCTGGATACATACACAAAGTGGTGAAAACTAATCAGAAGTTGGAGTTCATGGAAGTTGGCATAAAATCCACAAATATTCCATTGAATACAGTCAAAGAGAAAGGACAGCAACATAAAACAATGAAGAAACAAATGTAAAGAAGAACACAGCATAATAAGCTCAGGATCAGGATCAGCAAAGTCAGGGTTAGGGAGCATGGGTAAACTGAATAAGGATGGAATGGAGGGAGCGGGAGGACAGACCAGAGACAGGCGGGTAGGGTCCAGGAGGAGGAGACAACCGAGAAAGGACAAGCAGGAGGGGGGGAAGGGGAGGGGGGAAGGGGGGCGGGGAGCCGAAACCTGGGAGTGCACCTCAACAAGGGCAGCAACCGAGAGGGAATCAGGGGCTAAAGAAACCTCCATAGCTGGGACGGGGGGGGGGGGGGGGGGGGGGCCCAACCTCCGAAATGGGAGGGGACGGAGCGAGAGTCAGAGGTGGGGGGGGCAAAGAAGAAAGCGATGCCTACTTACCCGCCAGGGAGGACGAAGGAGAGGAACCAAGCTTACATTTCTGACTCAAGAGACAGGTGTTCCAGCAACAACATACTGGGTGACAAACTCAATTGATTTAACGGACAATGAACGGCGAGTGAACAACGAAGATTGCTGGGAGGGTGATGGACATCATCCTGGACAGACAGGCGGCATGGAGGGGCCAAGAGACTGGGGGCGGGGGATGTGAAGAATGATCGGTGAAGGAAGGTAAAGAAGACACAGGAGACATGGCAGATTGGGTAGGAAGGGAGAACTCCAGGTGGAGAACCAAGAGGGGGCCCCCTTCGGAACACAATGTAAAGGAACAGGGGAAGCAGTGGTGGGCGTGTCTGGGTCTAAGGCCTGAAAATGGTCAAGAGACAGTAAGGTGGGAAGGACGAGGAGAGGTAGAACGCAACACGTGAGCATAGGATACGCCAGCAAAAGGGGCGAGACGGCGAATTTGGTGTCTCGCTTCAGGAAAAGACAGACGATCCCAATGTTTCAAGTTGAGGACGGCTTCAAGTTTGTAGTGTATACATGAGCAGAAGGTAGGGTGGGCCTCAGCACAATTGAAGCAGCAAACCTCTAAGTGATCATCGTCCCCACACATGGGGCATAGATACACAGTACTTGTGCATTTGAGGGCACCATGCCCAAACTTCCAGGGTGGGTGGGTTTGTGTGGTGGGATAGACTTGTTGCAAAGTCTAGGAGAGGGAATCTACTCCTGAACGGAGCATCTGGCACCAGCAAGAACTAGAGAGAGCAAAGGGTCCTATTATCAAAGGTGATTTTCACAACTCGAAGAGGCTGACATCGACAACCACGAGGGTCGAGTGACGGTGTCCACCTGGAGGACAGAATGGCCTTGGGCTTCGAAGATATGTTTAATATCCTCATGGCAGTCATTTAGGTCCCTAACACCAGTTGCAACATGGTGTGGAAGAACAGTACCAACACTGGGTTTTAACCGAGCGTTTTTGGAGACCCGAACAGGGGCCTCTCCAATGCAGCTAAGCGGGTAGCTGCATCCTGAGCACCAGCAGCGACAACATGTGTACCAAAATGGGTGGGTTGTTGTTGTTAAAGATTCGCTACCTGGAACAAAAAGTTCCAAGTAACACGGGCTATGGTGAGCCCGTAGAATGGGTGGGGTTAAAAGTAACAGAGGCATCTACCGAATTAATAAGGTGTCTATGGAGGGAGAAATCGTCAGGAGTAGAATCCAGATGGTTAAGATCAAAGTATTTAGCCCATGAAGCAGGACCAAACATAGTACATATTAGTATGGGAAGGGATTGTGCGAGTGCAGCAGTGGCGGGGATGGCGTCGAGAACCCCCAGAGGGTGGGGGGGGGGGGTTAAAATGCTCAGTAGTCACAGTGAGAGCCGTGCCAGGGTACGAGGTGGTCATCACTGGGGGCTTGGGACTCGACCCAACCACAAAGGAGGGAAGGGAGTGGGAGGGGGGGGGGGGGTAGTCCGGTCTGACCCCAATGTAGCAGGGGCTAAGGAGCCCGGTCTTCCAGCCCTGTCGAACTCGGGGGGGGGGGGGGGGGGGTCTGGTCACCCACCCCATGAGCCTGGGTAAGAGGTTGTATCGCTATCCATATGTATTTTAAAAGGTCTGGGGCCTGGAACCAAGGGATACCACCTACCAGGGCAGCCAGGGAGGCCGAGTGCGAGCCAGTGCAGGAAGGGGTGCGTCGTCCTCAGTGGTGCTCCCCCTTTTTAAGTCTTCCTGCTTCATCCATTCTGCTTTAATGGTGCAAAGACCTCGTCCCGGACACCCAGCCATCCACTTAGGGCAGCCACTCACGGGTGATCCCTCCAGCGGGTGGTCCGTTGGCCTAAGACCCCTATGTTTGTGTTCTTTCGCACATACAACTCCCAAAGAGACAGGAATGGGGGTGGGGACAACTCTCACCGGTCTCCGAGAGGTGTACGTGAGCCCCCCTCACCACGACAAGGAAACACAATGTTGGGAGATTCCTATATCAAAATTTTTTTGTCTACTTTCAATTCCAACTACAAGCTGTAATGGTAGCACTCAAAGGTTATTGGCACTTATTGTATTGATATTTAGGAGTAATCCTCTTTACATGTTCTGCCTCATGGGCAAGGATGAGGGAACATCACATCCACACAACATATGGCTTCAACTAATTAAGAGCACCATAACTGTTTACATGGGCATTTCCCAGTTTCCCCATTCAATTCAATTCACTGAAATAACATGAATTTTTGCTTTAATCTGCCCTACTTTGAATTAAGACAACTACAGAATGTCTTAATTCCTGTCTTGGTCTAATTATCTGCAAGACTTCAACCACAACCCCCAACAGGCTTCCCTCAACTGTTGGTGGCCAGGCCACCTACAACCATTACCCTGACTTTCCTTCCTCAACCATCAATAACTCCCTCAATCACAACCAACATTCCTTAATTGTTAGTGCCTAAAGACACTGTGATTGGCATGGCTATAGGTTTGCTCTGCTAATCCAAAGAAAACATTACATGGAGGGGGTTAACATTTAGATTTTTTTATTACATTAAATAAAGGCCTCGACAAGATTAAAAGCAACGTTCAGTACTTTTATATTATAAATTTGTTGAATTTAATAGAATTACCGATTCACTTAAATGGTTAAATAAAACCTTTTAATACAACCACATTTATTCTTCCAGTAATTAGTAATTACAACCAGTAATAGTCAAGATACATTTACTTGCCACACAAAAGCTTATAAAAAAAACCTCCATCTTGTAACCTGTTGAAACATTTTATAACAAGATTTCATAAACATAAGCTATTTAAGGGCAAGTAAATATCACCACTGAAGAAGTACTTTACAGGAAAATTAATAAAAACATCACCTGTTATTTCATGTAATTGGCAGACTATCACACACATACCAAAACACTTAAATCTCGGATTTTCTAACAAAACATAAGCCTAGCACATTTGAATGGAAGGATTGCGAGTTTATTGTGAACAGGTTTTGTTAAACCTGTTGTCGAATAATTGCTGAATTTCAAGGAATGGACTATTCCTTGAAATCCAGCCAAAGAACATTTTATGTATAAATCTACTGAAGTATCAACAGCCAATAACTATATTTACCTGAACAAATGACAAAATTACACATGACTAACATGCTTCATCAAGACTCAATATTAATAATGCAACTTAAGATGCCTATATTTTGCAATCCCCCCCCCCCCTCCCAGTGTGAAACTATCATGTGTTCATTATAATTTTGAATGCCTTTATCTTGGCTCGATAAGAACAGCCAAATGCAATCATTCCTCTCTATGGCATTATCACAGACGCAGTACACCCATATATAAACACAAACAAGCATGTATGCATAATTCTTACAATTGGATTGTAAAGAATTCACTACATTTTCTGAATCTTTAAAAAATAAAAATAGATTCAGTGCATTACCCCAACATGCAACAAATGGCAACTACTGCACCACACCCCAAGTGCCAATTTCATGAATTTCCCCTTTGCTAAGACTGTAAATAGGTTCCCCCGACTAATTTAGAAAATATGTCTAAATGTAATTTAGAAAAAGTAGTAAATGTAATTTATCCACAACTGTGATTACTTTTTAAAGTTAATAAACTATATTCAACCATTTGCTTTTTCCATGAAAATGATCCAGAATTAACAAGTATTTAAATTCAACATCAAGAAGAAATGAAAAAAGGCTATGCAACCCAGCTGCACCTTTCAGGCACAATGAGCAGGTGTTACAAATAAAGTTAAAAGCAGTAAGAGTCCAAATTATACAAGGCATTTTCTTAGCACAAAAAATTTGTATGACTACATTAATGCTACCCTTAAGGCAACGACACTATGGCACAATGGAGTACATTAAGACCAACACTGGTTAAAAGTTAACATCTGCAATAAGAATTAATGAGTTATTACCTTGCCACAGCATTCAGGTATAAAAAGCATAGAAAAATCAGTTATCTAATTACTACACACAATTATTAATGTATTAAAACAAATTAAGTACTGTTGGCATAGAGCATTTAATTGTGACCATTTCTTTATACTCGTTCCAAGTATATTAATAGTTTAAAAAACTAGCTGTTAATAGCCACTGACCATCTACGACAAAACATTAATGAAAGACAATTCACGAACGCCCAGATTTGAGAAGGTATTCCTTTGTACAACATTACACATCACAGCTAACAATGATGAATGCCTTCAATAATAGCATCAAATATGCCACAAAAGATTAATGGATAATGCTGCTTAATCCAGATACTTTCACCCATGTATTTATTCCTCAAACATTGACAAACTATGCACAGATGACTAGTACAACTTGTGTCATATCACAACATGCATAGGCCAATTATTTTAAGACTTAGAAGTATGCAATGAATCTGGAAAATATATAATGTTCTAATCTAAGCCAAATATTAACATTCGTTTGGGTGAAGGCCAAGTATATATTTGCAACACTTAAAATTTTCAAATTACACATTGGCTATAGAAGGCATTTTGTATATATGTAGGGAAATGTTATTTATACAGTACATAAATGTCAACGAGTGAGGTATTGTATTTTGTTTCTAAAAGTGGTTAGTCATTTAAATTATATTTCTTGGCAATAAAAATAATAAGCTTCTGAAATGTACAAAAGATTAATGGGTTAAGGCAAAAACCCACCATCGACATCGATTCTTCCACAAATATATAACATACTGTACACTTATTTAAGGTTACATCCAACAGAATGCTATTAACATAAAAGTACATAGATGCCAATGATACATAGGAACATTCAAGGACACTTACATTATAGTAATTATTTTTTGGGTGGCATGGCACAAACCTCCTCACATTCCAGGTCAGTTACACTAGTGCCATCTTGTGCTTTACTGGCTTCCACAGGGGATTCACTAAATTCCAATCCCAGGGCCTAGAAATAAGAAAATTTAGTGTTATGTGCAGATCAAATTGTTGGGAGAATACTTTTACATTAATATTCTCAAATGTAACATGTTCAAAACTATAAACAAACCTTAATCTAAGTATTCTTCGAATTTACCCCTCTACTCAAATACACCCAACAGTTGAGTAACTGTTGCATGAAGACTTCAGACATCACCAGAATTAATAGTAGATGTACATTACTCATGCTTATAACTACAAAAATGTTATTGACCTTCAGCTGTGCACATCAACCAGTGTCATGTCAGAGTGTGTATGTCAGAGTTGTTTTTATGTCAAGTACAAGATTTAAAATGTTCACCTGGTAAACTGGGCACCCATACAATGCCTCAGGTTTCCAGTAAACAGCAGTCGCCTTTAAAAAAATTCACAGGTACCAGTATTTTCACAGGTAGGACTAGTTTGTATACAGCAAAATACAACAATTGTTGGTAGTAGAACAGCACACATTTTAAAGCAAGTCCCATAAGACAAAATGGAATTTTTACAAATACTGTATTTTAATTGTTGACACCGTTAACAGCATGTCGCACACTATTGTTTTAATGCTGCTGAGAGCACCATCAAAATGACGAAGTGTTAATAATGACTAAATAAATAAATTGGTATCTATTCATGGATGATACCGACAGCATGACAAATCCCTTACATATTAGCAAACCCAATCCCGGTGACGATGTTCCTAAAGCAAGAAACAGTACAGTCTCAGTTTTTCCTCTGCACATCATGCAATGAGACCACATGTTCCTTAAGAAAATGTATGTGAAAAATGATTCATATGCAAGACTGACCTGGATCATGAGTGATCATAACTAGGCAATGTCAGTGATATTTTTTTTGCTCCATCATGGCTAAAGCAAACTACACACTTTGTAGTTTCCCCGTGATCAGAGAGCACATTTAAAAAATACATGATTTTTTTTTTTTTTGTGTGTGTGTGCGCGCACACCACAGGAGTGTCACAAGTGTCATATGTAACAAACACACATATTGGGCCCCCTCAATACTATCTTGATATCACTGAACACAACTGGCATGAAAAATGCAAATTGAATGAGTACTGCAAGACTTCAACCATTTTTCAAGATTTCAAAAAAGACTTGTGCTAACATAATAGAAAGTTTAGAAACCCACGAACCTAATGAAAATTGTATTTGGGAATCTAAATCCAATTTGAATTACCAGATCCAATTAACTAGCCATGCTAATTCACATTTTACACTATCTGATTTTTCACTAACATTGTCCAAATTGTTCCACACTTATAAAACTGAAGTTTATAATAGCTTTGAAATTTAAGAGTAATGTGGGACCTGTACCAGGAACTAATATCAAACACCCACCTTGGCAATTGCAGAATTTTCAGCATGGTCAGCAGGGTTATCTTGTTTGAACTCGTAGAGAACCTTTTCTCCTTTTGGACCCACAACAATGAGCCCTCCATTCTGTAACCCATCGCCTTTCATGTTCCCTCCAACTGCCCATTCCTTTCCCTGTATTGAAAAAATTACTTATAATTTTGGTAACAAAACTTTAATACTTTGCTATAATAATGTGGTTAAAATCTCGCCTTTTTTTCACAACCAAAGAAATTTCATTTAAATTTATTATGCAAATAGCCTCTGCTAGACAAGGCAAGAGTGAGATGGCACATGCAAGTATTTAATGCTTAAACTGCGCATGGCGTATATATACGCCATGAGTAACATGTTCCATCAAGCTCATGGCATATATATACTGGTATATACGCCATAGGGTGCCAAGCACGATTCAAATGGCCCGCGGCTACACGGGATTCACATCAGCTTCCTCGGTGCTCTTGTAAACAGACGCCATGTTTAAAAAAAAATCATAGGCAATATTCTCCAGTGAGAGCCACAGTACTGTGGGAGCAACCAAGGCTGGCACACACCGCATGAGCTAACAGCATTGCTGTTCAGCTTGTGACCACAGCATCACCTAAAAAGTCAATAAATATGTACAGTAACTGCTATTTAGCAATGTCGGGTATTACAGATGACCCGACTGATAAAAATGACCAGGATTGTTGTGATAATTAGCACTGTAGGAGGAGTAATGCCGAGGGAGGGAGATAGCGTCGTTTAACCGACTGTGTGGCCACCTGTTATCTGCATTCACCATACCAGCTCGGTGGTTCTCCGTTGGTGAACACAAATGTAGATACTTTTATATAATTGTGTATTAACAGCAAAAGGATTATGTTGGGAGAAGCCATTTAGGTGACGGAGGTGGCATCGTCTGCATGACGAGTCTAGCTGTGTAGAGGGTGGGCACTGCTCTTTGGGCACCCTACAAGCTTAGGTGTACAGTTACGGTGCATACAACATGTAGATACTTATATATATTTGTGTATAGTGTAATAACACCCCAAACAGTATTGTTGGAGAAATTTTAGTGCACCTGACCTTGAATGAGCGAGGGAGGCAGCCGCCAGCTGATTGTGTGGAGCGATGTCTTAGTGCCTGAACTAACTATCATTAGTTGTACAGTTGTGGTGAACAAAACATGTAGATACTTATAGATAATGTGTATATAGAGTGTAGTAACTGCAAAACTTTTATGAACGTAATAATTGAAGCACTAATATGAACACCATTCCTTTGAGTATAGCGATGATTCACACACATAAAATTATTATATATTAGGCGATATCTTTGTGGCAACTCCCACCTGTCAGCTTGAGTAACCCTGACCGCCTCTGACGATCGCTCTGTCAACGTCCACATTTTGCCAGACTTCCTCTGCCTATTGCGCCCAAAATGTCACTAACAATCCCCCCCACCCAAATATGCAAATAGTTTTTAATATATGGAGGCAAGACCTACCAGCTAAACATGGAAGAGCTGAGGTTGCACCATATTGGACTGCTTAGGGCATCAGCTGGCCTTAACCCTTAAACTGCGCATGGCGTATATATACGCCCTGAGTAACATCCCACGGTGCACATGGAGTATATATACGCCAAAGGGTGCCAGACCCGATTCAAATGGCCCGCGGCTACACGGGGTTCACATTAGCTTCCTCAGGGCTCTTATAAACAGACGCCATTTTTTATAAAAAGTTGTGGGCAATATTCTCAAGTGTGAGAGGCACAGTACTGTTGGAGCAACCAAGGCTGTTCAGCTTGTGACCACAGCATCGCCGAAAAATGTCAAAATATATATATATTTTTTTTTTTTTTTTTTTTTTTTTTTTGAGATATACACAAGAGTTGTTACATTCTTGTACAGCCACTAGTACGCGTAGCGTTTCGGGCAAGTCCCTGGAATACGATCCCCTGCCGCGAAGAATCTCTTTTTCACCCAAGTACACATTTTACTGTTACGTTAAACAGAGGCTACAGTTAAGGAATTGCGCCCAATAAATCCTCCCCAGCTAGGATACGAACCCATGACATAGCACTCGCGGAACGCCAGGCGAGTGTCTTACCACTACACCACGGAGACAATAATAATTGTTATTATTTAGCGATGACAATATTACAGATGATCCCTGACAAATAACCAGGGTTGTGATAATAGCAGGATTGTTGTAATAATTAGCGCTGTGGGAGGAGTGATGCTGAGAGACGGAGGGAGACAGCATCGTTTACTGACTGTGGCCACCTGTTATTGTCTGCATTCACCATACCAGCTCAGTGGTTCTCTATGGTGAACACAAATGTAGATACTGTACTTATATATAATGTGTGTATTAGTGTAATAACAGCAAAAGGATTATGTTGGGAGGAGCCATTTGGGTGACGGAGGTGGCGTCGTCTACATGATTTGTCTAGCTGTTTAGAGGGTGGCCACTATACTCTTTGGGCGCACTACAAGCTTAGGTGTACAGTTACGGTGCATAAAACATGTAGATACTTATGTGTATATAGGGTAATAACACTGCAAACAGTATTGTTGGGGGGAGAAAGTTTAGTGCGTGTGACCTTGAATGAGTGAGGGAGCCGCCAGCTGTGTATAGCGACGACTCTTAGTGCCTGAACTAACTATCAGCTTAGCTGTACGGTTGTGGTGAACAAAATATATACTGTACATAATTATATATAACGTCTGTATATAGAGTAATAACACCACAAATGGTATTGTTGGGAAGAAAGTTTAGTGCGTGTGTTGAGGGAGTGGCAACGAGTGGCTGGCTGGTGTGGCGGTAACTCTTCGTTGCTTTTCGACTCGATACCAACTCGAGTGGTTCATTATGGTGACCAAAACATGCAGATACTTATATATAACCTGTGTATAGAGTGTAATACCTGTAGTAGCAAAACTGTTTATTGTTTTATGAACATAATTGAATCACTAATATGCACACCATACTTTTTGAGTATAGCAATTATTCACCACTTATATAAATATATTACAACACACACTATTGAATAATATTACTGCAAAAAAACTAAGAAAAAATCAATCTGAGACATTGAAACGATTAGGTAATAATATCTTTGTGGCAACTCCCACCTGTCAGCGTGGGTGACGCTGACCGGCCCTGACGACCACTGTCAACGTCCACTTTTTGCCAGACTTCCTCGGTCAATTGCGCCCAAAATATGTCACCTACGATACCCCCTGTGCTCAGGGGACAAATTAACATGTTTGGAAGACAAACAAAAATTTGATTTTTTTTTTTTTTTTTTTTTTGTGCACAGGGGTGTAAATGTCCTCAGGACCCCTGAGCAGTTGAAGGGTTAATCCAGCCCTGAAGCATGTGTACAGAAAGGAACAGTAAGCAGGAGTGAGTGACAGTGACAGCAACACTGCACAAGACACAGGGGAGGAGGACATGGTCAAGTCATTAACTATTGGTCCATGCCTATTACCTACTAAAACATACAACTAATGATCTATTAACATTATACTTCATTCTTTTTGTATAGAGGGGAACAGGATAAAGACGACTTACACCAATTCTTCACCTACTGGTGACAAATTGTGTAATGAAATTATGAAAAGTATATCAATGTGTTGAAACTAAACAGTGACATTTGCATTTATATTACTAATTTTTACATTCATACATACTGTCTTAAGATCCTTGATTTTTTTTTTCAAATACAGTACATGTAAACCTCATTTAACATTGCCTCAATTAGCATTTAATTTTTATGTCATTAGAAAACAATCATCTGGCAAAGAGTACTGTTAAGTTTCCCAATGTAGAATAGAAAGAAAGATGGGGAACCTATGGAACTTGCAGAAAATGAACAGTATACGAGGATTAACTTAATTGTTAAACAACTTTATTTACTTAAAAATACAATAGACCAAAATACAGTACGGTACATAATAATATAACATACTGTACAATATAATACAAGCATATTGTTATGTTGACAAATTATGTGAATTTAGTGGCTGTAAAAATCTGCCTTGCCAGATGATCACTGAAACAAGGCACAAGTTTGAAGCTAGATAATAGTATAACAAAAAAATCCTTGGAAAAGAAGGCAAGATGGGTAAATTTTATATTACAATAGATAGTAATCCTAATGAAAGGGCAAAGAAAGAAAATCATTAGAAAATAATCTAAAATTGCTAGGAGCAAAACATGACTGGTCATTCCCAGTACCCTCTGAACTTAATACTTACTTTCCACAGTAGGCCTACTACGTTTTTGGTTTTACTTATTTCAGGTAAAGTCAGTTTCCAGAAGCCTAACCCCAGCATTAAACAAGGTAAGCCTGTATATACATTTTTTTCCATGCACTGGCAGAGTAGCGCTGTTTATGATGCCAAGTTAATATTGGTGCAATACTGTACTACCTTGCTCTCTTCTACTGGCCAATAGGGAAAATGTTTTTGGCATTTGTTAATAGTCCAGTACTACATTTACCTTTAAGATACTTTAATATTAAGACAAGATATTTCTAATTACAAATACTGAACTAAACATAAAAGAAAACTAGTCTTTTTACTGTAGGGAATATACTTAGTCATTATTCCATACGTTGTCTAGTATCTAATAACCGACTTGCTTCCACATTAAAGCCAACTATAATCTTCATTTCCAGTTATTAAATATTTTCCTTGCATTCTCTTGGGAATTGGGAAACCCTGCATAAGGTAAGGTAATTATCAAAAGAAAGCACCAAACCGGGAAGGCTATGTAGCACCATCAAAGTGCGAAATAATCAGAGGGCACTAAATATCACCAGGAATGCCAATACGAGAAAAACGCACAAGGCGAACGATATCAAAAGTATCCGATTCACCTAGAATTCTATCGAGGGACAAGTGACCGCGAGGGACGGTCGGAAAGCAAGACACGCTCGTCCTGGAGGGCAGGACATTCAACAAGGAAATGCACAACTGTAAGAGGAACAACGCAATTTGGACAATAAGGAGCAGGGCGGCGCTCCATTAAGTGACCGTGGGTTAAGCGAGTATGGCCAACCCGCAGCCATGCCAAAGCAGTTTCCCACCGCCGGTTACGGTGGTAGGAGGAAGGCCACGGGGGGGACACTACGCTTGAGAGT